TTGGGTGCATAGCATATGCACATGTTCCAGATGAAAAACGGAAGAAGCTCGATGATAAAGGTGTAAAGGGTATTTTTCTCGGGATTAGCGAACAATCCAAAGCCTATAAATTGTACAATCCGATCACTGAGAAAATCGTCATTAGCCGTGATGTGGTGTTTGATGAAGATAAGACATGGCCATGGACTCCTACTATTTCAGGGCAGTCCATTCCTGTCCATTTTGAAGACGAGGAACAGTCACAAGTTTCTTCCGAACAGCCACAAGTTTCTTCTTCGCATCTACCGAGCACTTCATCTGGAGAAGACCAATCTGAAATTTCAGAACAAACACGGCCTCAACGCACTAAGAGTCGACCAGCTTGGATGCGAGATTATGAGGTAACTGGAATTGATCAATTTGACGATCCCATTACCCATTTTGCTTTACTTTCAGATTGTGATCCTGTAACATTTAATGATGCGGTTCAAGATCCAAAATGGCAGCACGCTATGGATGAGGAAATTCATGCCATTGAGGAAAATAATACTTGGGAATTAACTAATCTTCCCAAAGGCCACAAGTCGATCGGTGTTAAGTGGGTGTATAAAAGAACAAGTCCACTTTCATTTCAAATTTTCTTTTATAAGTTGCATAACATAACCAGAGATTTATCTATAGGCCATTTACTATGTTCTGTCCATATTCTCAATAGTGAATGGTTCTAAAGAAAAATACGAGCTCATACCAAATGAAGTCAAATGATCATGATATTTTTACTGGAGATAGTTCAATAAATTAGGAAGATATTTCAAGAACTCTAGAGCTAAAAATCACTTTATGATAGAGAACTTATAGCGATTCCAGTTTTGACCCGTTACTTATTACATTCCAGACTCGGGTTGGTTTGGTTTTGAATATTTATTCATATCTCTTTCCTTTGTCTTCTCCTTTATTTTGGTTATCGGATTGTAGTCATGCGTTTGGGACAGGTTGGTTGCTTATTTTTCCAAACCTTTGTTGCCCAGATTTTGGCTCTTCCGCTCGAGCGGGCATTCTTGTGCTCAAGTGGGCTTCAAAAATTTTGCTCCTTCGCTCAAACAACCATTCTTGCGCTCGAGCGAGATTTGCCACTTCTTAGTATTTCTTTTGCAATTCTGAAAATACTGGAAAAGTGCTTTGGACGCTCGAGCATCCAGTCCCACGCTCGAGCGGGGACCTTCGTTTGTAAAACTTCTGGAAATATGTATTTTATGCTCGAGCACCAACTTTCATGCTCGAGCAGAGCTTTGTGCCTGACGCTCGAGCGGGGCTTCCCACGCTCGAGCAGACTGCGCGTATAACAATTCGAGAAAATGATATTTTGAGTCACTTTTTCATATCTCTTTCTCTCTAAAAATTTCCAAAAAGCTTGTTCTTGAGCCTCTCTCTCTAGAATTAACATTCTCTCTTAGATTTCATCTAGATCCATTGATCTTTTCACCCTAGTGCCTTTGAGAAAAAGGTAGAGCTCGTCAAGATCTACATTTTGATCCGAATAGAAATGAGTTTCAGTATTCTTGGAATTTCTCTCTTGTTTGACTCATCTTCTTCCTTTGAGGTAGGGATCTTTTCTACACCTTCATATGTTATTTAGCTTAGTTATTTGTATCTTGCGTGACAATGATGTGAGTTGAGGGTGTTGTAAGCAAACCTAGGGTTTGGGTATATATAGAAAGAGGGATTGTTGTTAAACATGAAATACATGAATGTGGGTTTTAAAAATGAAATGATGTTGGGTCACAATGGTTGGAAATGATATTTTGGTTGATAATTAGAAATGGGAAGTTTTGCCTTAAAATGACTATCATGACTATTTTATAGAGATAATGGAAATTGTCATTGAGAATGTGAAATTGAGAGAGTATTGATATGAATGGTGGGATAAATTACCTGTTAGCTCATTCTTTGGAAATTTTTTAAAAAAATTATTTTTCATGAGATTGAATATCTATTTAGAAATAACTGTATTGGGCTATCGGTGGAGGATAACTATGATTGTTGTAGAAATTGCATAAAAATTAGGTGAATTGAAACTAATCTCTTATTGTTTGTCATTGATTATGACTATGTGTATATACATTGTATATGTATGATTATATGGGAGTGGAAAGGGGGTGTGCTCTATTGTTTGATGTTGTGTTTAAATACATTGCATATGTATGAATGATTGTTTGTGAGGGGAAAATGGATGGAATCCATTATAATTAAGTTGGCTAGAGTGTCTTGGGTGAAAGTCCTGAAATTATACATGGGTGCTTAGCCTGTGGACGAAATATCTGCAAAATGGCAATTGTAGTGCTTATATAGCCTACATTTACATGGGTCCCGTTTGACAGCTGCCCACGGACAAAATTTTCGTGAAAGAAAAGTTTGAAGTGTTCATTGTTGATGTGATGGTAAAACTAATAAGTTAAAGTCTCATTTGGATTGTTAAAGAGATAATGAAAATGGTTCATATAATGAAATGAATGAAAATTGGTACCTTATAATTATATAAGCTGTGGATGTCTCTATCACTGACGTTGTGTATGCACAGTGTACTTATACATTTGTTAAGTTTCATATATTGTGTTAGATAATTTCTACTGGGCTGTGGCTCACCTTATTTGGGAATAACATTTTTAGGTGTTGGTGACTTACCTCCACCAAGGCAATAGCTTGAAGGGATATTTTGGGGACAAGAACTTCTTTAATTTGAATTGTATATTTTTGTAAAGCCTAGGGTTAAATGTGTATGAGCTAGTCTCCTTTTGTGTAACCAAGTCAAAGCTTGGAAAGATATAAGTCAATAGGGCATTTAATTATGTTAAACCCTTTTGTATTATTAACTTCATGTAATGAATGGACTATTTACTCTGATTCATGCTGTTTTGAATATATGTTTGGGTTGTATTTATTGTATTATTTTGGGGGCGTTACAGAACTCATTTTTGGAAGAAAACCAGTATATTCAAATAGTGAGTTCAGCAAACTCCAACACAGGTAGGCTGAGTTAGAAAAATGAACAGAGGCATCAAATGATGTCCAAACTAAGTGAGACCAGAACCATTGGAAAGGTATTTGAGTTAGGGATATTTTATCAGAAAGATGAATAGTCTAAAAATCACATCAAAGGGATGAAAATACAAGTTCAAGTAGTACTGATCTGTTCCTATCATGTTTTAGAAAAATGACCGTAACTCTCTCAATAATTAATATTTTCTTGTGTACATAGAAAGGTATCTCATATATCTAACATTTGGCACTAGTTGCACTTCATAAGGATATTTTTAGAGAATGGCATAGAAACAAAGTGAGGGTTAACTGCTACTCCTAGAAATCTGTAGGATCCAATTGTAAAGACAAAAGGTTTTCGAAACTCAAAACGCATCCCATGATCTTATAAAAATGTGAGTATACCAATAACTCATTGATAAAGGGTATATCAAAATTTCAAAGCAAAAGGATTATTTATTTATTTATTTATTTATTTTTGTGAATTTTAGAAAATCAGCAAAATTAATGCATATGAACAAAATCAGAGCAGACATGGGCTAAAATCATACCAATTGTTAAGCTCTACTCCTATTCAATCAATTTTCACCATACACATACATGATACAAAAATACATAATCAAAACAACCAAATATCATATATAGAGAAAGAGAAGGCAAGGGTGTTCCATTTCATACCAATTAACACGATTATGAAGCTTATAGCCTACCCAAAGCACATTTTGAAATTTGCCAAAATACGACTATAAGCTAAAATCCACATACATGCTCCAATCTAACATGGCAGAAAATAATAATAATAATTTGAATTTAGAATTGAAATCAAGCAAGTTCAGAGCAATGCTATATATACATATGTATATATATATATATATATATAGAGAGAGAGAGATGTGAGAATTAGAAGGTGAAGCGACAACCATTGAGAATTGAATGGTTCAGCTTGTACCTTTAGCAGATGAGGAAGGATTGATTCAAACCAAAGCTTCGTCAAAAGGTGATCTATAGCTGTGATTAGATTGATGAAAAAGTTATCGAATTACAGTGAGTTCAAATGATAAGAAACAAGTGATCGAAGTAGAGAGACGAAGAAGTTGAAATACGAATGAATTATTCGAAGAGACTCACTAAGACGAGAGAGAGAGTTCATACCGTTGGTGATCTATAGAGCGAAATCAATCACAAGCAATCCCACAATTCTTGAAAATCAATCACAACCAATTTCTTCATTACGGCCATGGTCTCTTCTTTAGACAATCGAACGAGCGAAATCAGATTTCACGATCGAGCTAAATCAGATTTGAGGGAAATCAGTCTTTGCTTGTGAATTGTTAGAAGTGTGACAGTGGAAAGGGTTAGAGCATAGGTATAAGAAAAGGGCAAAATAAATAAAAGAAAAAATTATCAAGGTTGCTATTGTAAATATTATTTTTTGCGACGGTCAAATAATCAGTCACAAAAAGCCACTTTTCTAGTAGTGCTACTTCTCCACACAACAATAAAGTTGCCTGAATTGTTAGTAAAATATATTTATGATATCATTAAAAACTGTTAATTGATTAATAATTTACTGATAAAATGAGACATTTGTTATGTGATTAGAAAGTTAAAAGAGTGTGATGTAATTTCTAAAACTATTGAGATAATTCGTATTTTAAACGTACCTCGGATGTGTATATGTAATTTATCCTATAAAATATTTATGGTCTTATCCATTGAATTGTTTTATTATTATTTTTTAAAATAAATTATAAATACACTTCATGTTGTTTGTTTAAAATAAATACAAATTACTCCTATAATTTTAAAAATTATATTATACCCCTTTAAATTTTCAATCACATAACAAATGACCAATTTTATTAATAAATTATCAAATTAATTAATAATTTTTAATAATATCAAAAATATATTTTAATTAATCATTCAGACTGCAAATTTACCCATATTTATAAATTGACTTGACCATAATAATAATAATCTCATCAGACTGCAAATCTATGCCCCTTGCCCCTGAAATTACTGTGAAATATAGTTAGTTTTGTGCATTTTGAACATTGCCGTCGGCTAATCTTGCTTGATATAGAAGCGGGGGGTGAAAAATGGCGAGCTTTGGACTCACACTCTCATCATCCAAATTCATGATCATCTCCATTGCCTTGATGCTGATCGTGCCCTTTCTCTGCACACCAACAACATCGTCTGAATCTGAATCTGAATCTGAATCTAAATCTGAAGCTGCTTTTATCAAGAAGACCATCTCTTCCCACTCCATCGTCATCTTCTCCAAGTCCTACTGCCCGTACTCTCTCTCTCTCTCTCTCTCTCTCTCTCTAGAGTGATCCAGTTTCCCCCAAATTTGTTGTGTAATTCTTTTTATTCGAATGTCAATTTTACTATATGCTAATACCCAACATATTCATTTGGATGGTGGATTTCCAAATGGATTTAGAATTAACCCATTTATAATTTGGGGGAAATTACCTGCAGCAGCTGGTGGTAATTGCAGAAAATTATTACATTTGTATGAAAAAAGTTTATAATTTTAATTATTGATATTGATCAAGTTTACCCCTAATTTGTAATTACTTTTCAACTTATACACTGATTTCAAATTTTCCCTTTAATTTCCTATCCTATGGCAACCTGAAACTTAGGCCAAGTTTGTTTAGAGCACTACTAGTGATTATCAATTCCTTTTGGATTGTCTATCCTATCCCATGTTTGGATTTGCTTTACTATCATCAAAAATGCAATTTAATTAATTAGGCCAAACTGGTCCTTAATACTCTATTTTGTATCCTACTCCCCTCTTAGGATTCAATAGTCTCCATATGGGATACTTTGTCCCGATGGACTTTTAGGCTGCGTTTGTATTATAAATTTGGGTAAGGATTTGGAAAGAGAAAGATAATGTGTGTGAAATTCAAGTATAGCTTGTGTGTTGAGCAAAATTGTACGGTAAAAGGCAGAACGCAATGCGTACTGCCCCAAGCTTTAGCTTTCACGAAACTATTTTATTCATATTTTATCTACTTTTTCCTTTTTCCTTTTCAAATCGCTATCCAAATGTATGATCCGAACACAGCCCTAGTGTGGATCCCAATGTTCTAAGCCAAATTTCGAATTATGCATTTTGTTGGATTATTAATCCAGTCCCAAAGACATGTCCTTCCTAACAAACATACATAGCCTAGTGTACTAAATTGGAGCTCTCACCACAGTTTTTTTTGTTTTCATTTTTTTTTAAACTTAAAAATTGAATCACAATACGATGCCTTTGTGTAGAAACACACACAAATCCTAAGAAATTTCCAAGCATTACACCCATCTCAGGCCTACTAGAAACCCGATTCACTCTTTGTATGTGGTTTGAAAGCAGAGAAATGCTAGAGGCCCACAGTTTGAATCCACAATTCACGAGTTAGGCCTTATATGGTTGAATTTATGATAAATTAAAAATTGACACATTACCTGCCATGTCAATGTGGGTAAAATTGTGGGACTTAAATTGTGGTTTTAAAGCCTTTTTTCCTCCCGTTGCCAGGTCTGTTTGCATTTTGACTGACTAAATTTATGTTGTTTTGGTGTGATTATAATTAAATTTTCAGTGTTCAAAGTTTTTAGTATTGTTTGTAAGTAGTCTGCAAGCTTCAGGTTGATCAATCACTCATTGCTAACCCATGCTGGTCTTCAGGTATTGTAAAAGGGCAAAAGCTGTCTTCAAAGAGTTGAACCAAACACCACATGTTATTGAGCTTGATCAGAGAGGTTTGTTTACATCCTTATTAACACCACTTTTTATTGACTCCGATTACATTTCATGATGACAAATATCAATATAACCCAAGCGTCAGTTCTATTATTTTTGTGAAGAGTAGAGTTTCATGGGCTTATATTTTGGTCATTCATTTCCCTGACCAAGAAGTTAACAAGAGGTGCTCTATTGTCTTCACAGAAGATGGGTGGAACATTCAGGATGCCCTGAGTGAGATTGTTGGCAGGCGTACTGTACCACAGGTGTTCATTAATGGAAAACACATTGGAGGCTCAGATGGTAACTTCCTCAATTGATTTTCATTAAATCTTATTTTCACAAGAAACAACTTGCCTGAATAATTTTTAAATTGTCGATTACAGATACTGTTGAAGCGTATGAGAGTGGAGAACTAGCAAAGCTTTTAGGTGTTTCTGCAAAGTTTAAGGATGATCTTTAAGCCAAGAATCCAGTCTCCATGTGATTTATTCTCTTACTTTTGTAGGGTAGTGATATAACAGACTGTGCATTAGTGTTCTGCTTTGTGGTTGCTATTATTGCTTTATGCAAGTTTTCTTGAACAGAAACACTTCACTTATGCTTTGAAGTAATTGATCATCCTAATTTTCTTAGCAAAACTCGAATGATCTGAATTCATGTATGCATTATAATAATTCATTAAGCTTTCTATTTATGAGTTGCTACATATTATTCTATCATCAACAAAGGTTGTGAGCTTCTTGTGATAAAAAACTGAAGCCATAGGTAGTCATGAGCCCCTATCGAGAGGATTTGTCCTCATTTTGTACTTTTTCTTTATCTTTAATATTATTCGTTTTGTTGCCGATCAAAAAAATATTGCTGCCATACATCTTGCAATTTGGATGTTTAGAGGTTACATTTGTGTTATTTTGTATATATACATATCGAGTGCTTATGGTTGTTAGTTAATCCCAAGTTTTGGATGTGTAATCCTGGTTCATATGATTCTATCAGGGTTGATTTACTATCCAACATGAGCACACACGTTTTCTAATCCTTATAAAGAAAGTCATGCATAGGAGGGAAATAAGTACTTTATAAATATACTTAAAAATCAATTAGTTAAAACCTTCGTTGTATTGTTGGAGCTGTCTTTTTTTGTTTGGTAAGCAAATAATTCATTGAAAGAATGAAACAATATGTACACAAACACAGGGAAAACCCCTAACACAAAAATCCTAACTGCTATTGAGCAAGTAGTAAGAAAAGGTCATAGCCCAAACAACATAAATGGCAAGAGCTAACCAGCTACTCAACAAAAGAATAGAAACAAGACATCAAAAAACCACAATCCTCCTACCAAATCAAGGGACCATCTAAGAAAATACAAACATCAGTAATGTTTAAAGTTCTTTGGTTTATTATATTTTATTCAAAACACAAATTTCATATCTCTGCTTCTTTTGGTTTATTGTTATAGGTTACCCTGCATAGATCAGAATATAGCTAACTGATTGGAAAACTTCCATTCTGAACCTGAAGGCAGGGCACATGTTGTTGGGTCCATATTTGTGGCAAAATTATTATATGATTTAGACATTTTTGTAAATCAGACATGAACACAATGGTATGGACCCAATGTCCCTAGAAAAGCTGACCAACAGGCATGTCTCTTAATATATATTATAACATTTATTTTCAAGCTTATCTTCTCATCATTGCACAGTATAGGAATTACTTATAAAAATATCTTACTCAATTGTGAAAATTTGTCAAATTTGTGAATTAGTAGTTAATTCAATTACATATGTTCTTAACTGTGCTGTGGGGAAAAGGTGCTCTTACTAATTCAGGTTAGTGTTTGGTTTAGTGAAATGATTTTAGATAGGAATAGAATAACTATTTTTTTGACCTTTCAATTGAATGTCTATTCTTGTAAATTGGTAAATGGTGATTTCATTTTGCGTGTATATTTTGCTTTGAACCAACTATGAGAATAGGTAATTGAGATTGGATTGGCCATACCATTCCAGTTTATTTTAGTAAACTTATTATAGTAATGAAATCGCCACTAGGTTATATATGACGTAAGAATACATTGTTATATATCTGTATCTATTAGCTACTTGACTAATAATGCTGGATATGTATAGGCATGTCTGTATAGGCATACATAACTAGAGAACAAGAACTTAGATACAGAAAGTAACCCTACACCCTATACTCAAATACAGAAAGATATACTTTTCTACATATGAGTTCTTACTTTTCTGTATTTAAGTTTAGGGTTTAGGATTACTTTTCTGTATCTGAGTTCTTGTTTTCTGGCTGATTTTAAAATAGTGGGCTATGGTTTGGGATGCTTGGGGGTTGGAGTTGGATGAGTCGACACTCCATGATAATCTGTGTGGTATTCCTCTGAATCCTCCTCCTTTGAATCCTCTTCACCTCTAGAAAAGTCTGTTGCCTTTGAGCCACCTTTTTCTTTTCTATTTCTGTCCTCTCTAACAACCTACATAATTAGAAATCATTGATTACGATTCGATTCACCAATTAAGGCTCAAAACAATTAAATAAAATTGAATCGAATCGAATTGTTTGATATTTTTATTAATTTTATTATGGTGTACTTTTGACCTCGATCTCATTTCGACGTCAATGGGAACTTCATTCTTTCTATTCACAAAATACTTTCCCACTGTATAAAAGTGTGTAATTATTTATTTACTATTTATATGATTTTTACACATCTTACATCATTGAAAAGTTATATTTTTATAATAATTATTACTATGTAATAATGAGTTTTTTTTTTTGTGTGTGCCCAGATTTTATAAGTTCATTTTTTTAAATGTACTTATATAATTTGTTGAATACTTTTCGTTGAACTACTAGTCATAGTGATGAATTTTCTAGCCTGCAACTGTGAAATGGAATCATAATCAAATCACTGTTTGCGATTTGATTCTTATTTGATTACAAAGATTTTGAGGTTTGATTTTGTTGTAAAATTCTAGAATTGTAGGGACCGATTAGTTCTTGTTTTACCTAAGAACCAAACTAAACTGGTCCATGAACACCATAGGGGGAAAAAACCTTAACCTATCACCTTTTGTAGGATTTGGGATGCTAGTTTGCTACATATTGATTGACAATAGCACACAAACTACATGTGTGAGATTTAAAATAATAGTTATTTGAAAAACCGGTCCATGAACACCATGGAAGGGGGAACATTAACGTATCACCGTTTGTATGATTTGGGATGCTAGTATGCTACGTATTGATTGACAATGGCACACAAACTACATGTGTGAGATTTAAAATAATAGTTATCTGAAGTAATTAAATTTGATAATTATGACAGTTATTAAAAGTAGTTGGATTTGAGAGAGTTGAAGCAGTTTAAAGTAAAAAATTGTCCTATAGGTCTGGCTTATATTCCCTGCGGGCTGCCCTTCCAAGTATAATTGAGGCATGTAACTAGTTTCTTTCTTCTCTTTATTTACATATATTTTAGACAAATTATGTGCTCCAATGATATAAGATGGGCATAGTCACCTGGTAAGTAGGGTTGTAAACAAGTTGAATCAAGCAGAAAATTAGATTGTTCAAGCTTAGTTTGAAAACTTGAAATGTTTCAAAACGTGTTTAAGCTTGAGCTAGTTTCCATACGAGCCGATCTCGAATGAGTCAAACAGAGTCAAGCTCCAATAACTTGATTTTTTTATAGTGTATATAAGCTTATCAAGTCGAGTAATAAGTTATTCATGTTTGGCTTGAAAACTTAACGAGTTTTAAAATGCATTTAAGTTTGACTTGTTTACCTAACGAGTCGATCTCAAACAAATTTTTAATGAGTATAATACGAATCAACTTCTCTTTTAAAAGCCCAATGGGTAGATTAGACGTACTAGATAACTTCTCATTTGGAGGAGTTGACATATTTTGGATATATTTTGAGAAAAACAAAAAGCATGATAGTTTACACTAACTCTAGTGTAGACTGTATATAATAGTATAGTGTGTGTAAACATATATATGGTACCTGAATTTTGCGGTATTGATGTTGTTGATTGAAAGATGAAGCACTCAATTCTCTTATGGGTAGACTTCCCGGGAGAAACATTAGAGGAACATGAGAAGAAGAGCTGATGCTACATTTGGAAACAAAAACCAAAGCACTTGCAATCAGCCACAAAAATACGACTCCCCAAGGTTTCATCCTCTTTTTCTTTTCTTTTCTTTTCTTGGTTGAGAGAGTGGAGACCCTGGGGAGAATTGGCTAGCATACCAAATATATATGAGCCTTAATGTAATGCCATAGAGAGAGAGAGAGAGAGAGAGAGAGAGAATTATTGATAGAGGGGTCAGGGAAACATGTCTCAACTCAGCCCATGCTACCAGATGGTGTGCTGTTTTTATGTGAATGCGATGACCCCCTGCCCTTACGCTCCGTTTATTTCAGCGGTGAAAAATATTTTCTACAGAATCCAAATAAGTTTATTTATGCTGATCATAGAATGCGTTTTCGATTTACTTTTATTTTTCTTTGTACTAGACTCTAAAAATTACGTTTTCTATCCAAACAAACAGATTGTAATGCTAACCTCTCAGATTTTACTCTCTCAAACACACACATAACATGCTCATAAGCTGATTGTGTGACCCGTTATTTTTGTGTTGGAGTTTTGGAATATAATGTATAATTTGCCAATCAATAAATAAAATAGAATTACTTTGAGAATATTTAATAATTTCTCATCATAATAAAGGGTAGAATTGAGGTCACTTGTGCGTTTCATGTTAAAACAAAACCATTCATGGTTTATGCATTAATCAATGTTTCGTCCTCAATGAAGACTAAGAGAGAGTCATCCTTGTCTGATCATGATGTTGCCCTACTTAACACACACACTCTCTCTTTCTCGATTGGGTTGTGTTTGTCTTCAACCCACAATGAGAATATGAGGCTTAGCTTCAAGGTCTGATCTGTTAATCTTTTAGGTCAAGTTTGTTTAAAAGTTTGGACAGAGGATTAGATTAGTAATTTGTGGATTTCACAAAATTCATGTTTATTTGAGAACTATGAATACCCTCCAGGAAAGGGATTAGCAATCTCACGAAAATTGTAGATAAAAATATTACTGAGCAAATTACACAAATAGTCCCTATAGTTTGGGGCTTGTGTCATTTTAGTCCTTAACTTTTCAATTATAACACATTTGATCTTGAATTTTGAATCTTGTTTCAAATAAGGACAATTGAAGATATCATTAGATTTTTCAAAGGTAAAATCGTTAATTTGATAAAATATAAACTAATTTGACAAAAATAAATGTCAAACAAATATTGTTGAATTTTTAAAATAAATGTCAAATAAATCATGTAATTTTTATTAATTTTACATAATTTTATCATTGGTAGATAAAAATAATTGTTTAAAAATTAAAAATATTTTTTTGACATTTATTTTTGTCAAATTAGTTTATATGTTATCAAATTTACGATTTTACCCTTGAAAAATCTAATGATATCTTCAATTGTTCTTATTTAGAATAAGATTCAAAATTCAGGGTTAAATGTGTCACAATTAAAAAGTCAGGAATCAAAGTGACACAAGCTTCAAACTATAGGGACTATTAGTATAATTCACCCAATATTATTTATTTTAGCCTCCACTTTACAAGTATACAAACAAATACAATTAATGTTACATCTCCAACATAATATGATAACATTAATAATCATCTCATTCGATTTCACTATACTCAAATCATCCAACATAATCCATCAAACAAACATGGTCTTATGTCATAGTATGTAGATCATTAATAAAAGAAGAAAAACAAATTCAAATTGATCTAAAAATTATAATCACATGATTTTATCACATTTATCTTTCAAAATAAAAATCATGACTGTTAATGTAAATTGTATAAATTACCACTACCTACCACCTCCACTACCACCTACACCTACCACCTCCACTACCACCTACACCTACCACTAAGCTGATTGTGTGACCCGTTATTTTTGTGTTGGAGTTTTGGAATATAATGTATAATTTGCCAATCAATAAATAAAATAGAATTACTTTGAGAATATTTAATAATTTCTCATTAATAATATAGGGTAGAATTGAGGTCACTTGTGCGTTTCATGTTAAAACAAAACCATTCATGGTTGATGCATTAATCAATGTTTCGTCCTCAATGAAGACTAGAGAGAGTCATCCTTGTCTGATCATGATGTTGCCCTACTTCACACACACACTCTCTCTTTCTCTATTGGGTTGTGTTTGTCTTCAACCCGCAATGAGAATATGAGGCTTAGCTTCAAGATCTGATCTGTTAATCTTTTAGGTCAAGTTTGTTTAGAAGTTTGGAGAGGGGATCAGATTAGTAATTTGTGGATTTCACAAAATTCGTGTTTATCCGAGAAAAATGACATGGGACTATGAATACCCTCCAGGAAAGGGATTAGCAATCTCACGAGAATTATAGATAAAAATATTAATTTACCCTCAACTTTACAAGTATATAAACAAATACAATTTATGTTACATCTCCAACATAATACAATCACATTAATAATCATCTCGTTCGATTTCATTATACTCAAATCATCCAACATAATCTGTCAAACAAATATGGTCTTATGTCATAGTATGTAGATCATTAATAAAAGAAGAAAAACAAATTCAAATTGATCTAAAAATTATAATCACATGATTTTATCACATTTATCTTTCAAAATAAAAATCACGACAATATAGTTTTGAAAACATACCATTCATTTTTTTAAAAACAAATCTTATGTTTGGATTAATCGAATTTTCTAATATATTTTTGAGGAAGACTTTTCTAATATATAATCTACACTTGGGTGCGTGAAAAATTAATTGATTGGACCATGGAAGTGAGTCTCATGGTAGAAAGCATCTCTATTGTATACTACTATAACGATAACGGAAACTTGTCTCCAATCCACATTTGTTAGCTAGACAATGTACAAGACAGTTGCGTTTGTGAGACCTAGCACGAGCCTTACTCTGATTATCTTATTCATTTATTTTGTAGGTCTTTATGTATAGATTGCCTATGGGGAAAAAAATCATATTGATCCGATTATTACCAATTAATTCCACCCTAAATCACCATCATCGATCATTACCACAAGTCACCACCACCCAAAATCACCACAACCATCTATCACAACCCATCACCACCCATCACCACTGTCTCAAAACCCCAGCTCTCCTCCCTCTCCAACCCCATCGCACCTCCTCCGCCACTCTATCAGCTTTTGTCCTCATCCCCAACCGTGTCACACCTCATTCCTTTACCTTGTCCTTGCCCCATCCTCCTTCCAACACCACCCTTGTCCTTGGCCCTTCTCAACCCATTAATGTTTCCTTTGTTCTTCCCTTACCAACATAATTTTAATGATTTAAAAAATCAATTTTCAGACAACACATATATGCAATATTAATTTAGATAAAATGAAAAAGAAAACAAAATTATAAAAATAAAATAAAATAAATCACTTTGGCATTAACTCAAAGGAAATTTAGTGTCACAAATCAAACTTTAACGTACATCGTTCTTTCTTTCTTTGTTTTTTCTCTTCTGTTTTTTGCGTAACTCCAAGTGAATAAAGTGTAAAATACCCATAAAACAAAGTACAAAAGTGCAAACTAAATTTAACCAAACTCGGTTTGTCAACAATAAACATTTTAGTTTCCTTCATTCCTTGTTTCTTTTAAATAGACTGCTATTATTCCTTACATTTATTGTGACAGTATGATACAATTTGTAACAAAAACTACAAACAGATTTTGGCCCAATAGCTGGGAATCTCACCCCTAGATATAGGAGTGAGCATGGTCCGGATTGGACCGGATTGGAGTAAAACCAGAACCAATCCGTTATTTACGGATCTTGAAAAATTGGAATCAATTCAATCCGTTTAAATCATAGAACCAATCCGAACCAATCCATTTAAACACGGATTGGATTGGTTTAGGACCACCAATTTACATAATTAAATAACAAAAATATATCTACAACACTTTAATTTCATAAAAATATAAATATAGAACCATATTAGTTTCACAATAGCAACATGTCTTTTCATAACAGCGACAAACTGTTCTAGAATTTAAACAACTATAAGAAAACTAGTTCCACCATAAGTATTTAGACTATTACAAATTAACACTAAAAACTAGCAAACAAAAGTAATAAAAGAAGATACTATGCAAGTTTAGGTTTGGATTTAAGTTTTATATGAAATAAGAAAAGATACTATGCAGGAGGGTGCATAATAAAAATATAGACTATTTGTATACAGTCCGGATCGGTTCCAATCTGGAACCGTGGGGTTTAATCTGGAACCAATCCGTGAACTATGGATTTTTAATTTTTCAATCCGGAACTGAACCACGGATTCAAAAAACCAATCCAAATCTACTAGATTGGACTGGACTAAATCGAATTACGGATTTCACAGATTCCTTGCTCAGCCCTCCCTAGATATCACATGATTTCGTTTAATTTAAAATTGTGTTGGTTCGTAAATTTGTCTGCGAATTCGAAAAGAGAAAGAAAAGGCAAGGAAGGGGAAAATATATATATATATATATAGTAATAATTCATATTTTTTTATATATATATTTTTTAAATAACTATTTAAATTTATAATCTAAACACAGGGTACAAGAGTAGGTGTGGAAAGATAGGACACATAATTAGAATGACTTAAATTCTATGAGCACCAAAAGTCAAATGAAAGGATGTTAATATTGAATTTTTTTCTAGTTTCCTACGATGGTGTTCATTATTTCTAACGCATGCCTTAACTCCATTTTCACATTTTACTCTTTCTTCTCATTACTTTTAATGAGTTATATTTAATACATAATTAAATTCTGATTTCACTGATACCCAATTAAATTACTCAAATAGAAGAAAAAAACAGTATAAAATGCTCACTTTCCTTGACTTTCCTCTTTGTCAATAATATTAGTCTTATTAACACCTCTGTCTCTCTCACACACAAAAAAAAAACCATGGGAGATGATGAAGAAGAAGCATGCAAGTGCAACACAAGACTCGGTTTAGGAATCGGTGTGGATGAGTTTACACTGCCTAAATGCGACCGTGCTAAAAAAAAACAAATTGTTTGCTTGGAGCTTTCGATTCCTCCTCACATGAATCGAGAAGCAATTGATGCTGATTACAGAATTGAAGGATCGAGTTCAAAGACAACCGAGCTAGACAAATGCAACATAGAGAAAAAAAAGTGTAATGACAACAATGACGATAGTGATAGCAATAACAACAACAACAACAACAATTGCAGCAGAAAGAAACTTAGGCTCACCAAGGAACAATCCACCTTGCTTGAAGAAAGCTTCAAATTTCATAGTACCCTTAATCCGGTATTTCCTATATATATTTATATTACTCTCTCTTTCTCCCTTAATTTATTTATTTTTTTTTAATCTGCGAAAATTAATTGTTAGTTATTAGAATAGTTCCCGAAATGAGTCATATCCCCCAACCTCTCTTTATTTAATTTTTCAACTTTCTTTCGCCATTGTTTTTCTTGTGTCAATTACATTTACCCCACTAGAGTAGCATTTCTTTAATTATTATGCGATATCATTTTATCCTGTCATCTTGAAAATCATAGCCGCTAGAAGAAGAAAAATCTCAAAAACCGTATATTTAGATTCTTTAACTATAAAAAAATAAAATCTGCAGATGTATCTCTTTTAGAAGAGTTGAAACTAATGGATTCGGACCCTATCCAACACTTTTTTCCTTCAGTCCTCGCCAAACACTTTATTCAAAGATTACAATTTAACAACTAGTCATTATTACATTTTGTGATTTTTTGATCAAGTGTTGGATGATAACTACAGAAAGAAAATACTAGAGAGGATCCTCTTCCAAAACTAATTTTGTAAATTTTCTAGTTCTTTCTTCTTCTTTTTTTTGACCAATTGATGTTGTTATAATAAATGGGCATTGATAATTTTGTAAGATTATTTATTTACTTTTTTTGTGGGGGTTTCAGTAGATTTTTTATTTTTTTAAAGTAATAAAACAGTAGTAAAGTAAATAATTTAATGCGGGGATTGAATTTGCAGACTCAAAAACAGACACTAGCTGAGAAGTTGAATCTGTTGCCGAGGCAAGTTGAAGTGTGGTTTCAAAACAGAAGAGCAAGGTAATATTAAATTCTTGCAAAATTACATCAATAGTCCCACTATTTTATCATTTGTATTATTCTAGTCTTTATAATTTTTAATTTACTTATTGTTGGAAATGATATAAATAAGTGCATTTTTTAACTTTTTACAAAAAAATATGCAGAAAAATAGAGAGGTGATATGATCCAATAAAGATAAAAAAGATAAAAAGTGTGATATTTTATTGCACTCCAAACAAGCTCTTAATTTTGACCATTAATTTTGTGTCAATTTAGTTCAATTGATAGCGCCGATTAGATTTTTTGACAGAAAATGATCACTGAGTTATTTAAGGTTTACTTAAGGTATTGAACAAGTTTACAATTTTGTTTATAAAAGTATGACATATGCCGTTTAGACCAAATTAAGACAAAATTATAAATTTAGGATCAAAATTAAACCAATTACAATTATATATAATTATCAAAATATAAGGATTGCTGATATAATTTACCCAAACTTCATAGTTGGTGTTTACCCATTAGACATGGTTTGTTAGATGAATATGATTAACAAAATTATAATTAAATTAATATAAAAATAGCATTTTTTTCAGATGAATTTATCATTTTTTTCAACTTTTGCATTGATTCACCCATCAAACATATATAACATTATAGTTGTGTATTTCCTTGTAAGAAATGAAAAATATATATATATATAGTGAAATTCAATCAGTAATACATATCAACCCTCAAAATAATATGTTCGAATTGAGATTTATTGCTTTTATAGGAAATTCTATTGTAAACACCAAAAAATTAAATAAATACATACTATATGCATCATTACTTTCAATTATTAAAAAATACATTTCAGCCATTATTCATAGTCATAATGAATACCATTTTGAGGGGACAAATTTTTTATATTATATTCTCAATATTTCTTAATTATCATATAAGCGAAGAGATTTAAATACAAAATTTATTGTCTGCTCTAATACCATATTGAATTAGTTGTTATAGAAAAGAGTAACGTCTTATATTATATTCTCAACATAGCATAACCGTACTTGAAAGCATGTACTCACTAAGATATTAGAAGATTTTAATTATAAAACGCAACATTCACATCATTTGATTGTTTTTTTTTTTTTTATCTAAAAAATTTATATTTACAAAAAAAAATTTAACAAGAAGGAATTTCATATTGATGTATTTGTAGGACGAAGTTGAAGCAAACTGAGGTGGACTGCGAGTTCTTGAAGAAGTGTTGTGAAAGGTTAAGCGATGAAAATCGTAGGTTGAAGAAAGAGGTGGAAGAGTTGAAGCGATCATTGAAATTAGAACAACAACAGAGACAAAATTCGTTATTTATTCAGCTTCAAAAAGCAGCAACACTTACAATGTGCCCATCTTGCAATAAATTTACTAAAGTCGTTGCCGCTACTACTACCACCACTATTAATAGTACTGGTACTATTAGTGCAAACAATGATAATAAAGAAAAAGAAGCAGGAGCAGCAATAGACGTGGTCACATAAACCTAATAATATATAGCAAAGTGGCTTGGGTGGTGCCACTTAGCCAAACTTTCTTTTTTTTTCTTTTTTTTCTTTTTTGTCTTTTTATAGTAAGTTTAGGTACTAAAACAATATTTAAATTTTTATTGAGAAAAATAGTATGTGGTCTAAATTATTGTAAGTATGAATCTCATTGAATTTGAAATATCTTAATCACTTTGTTTGGTTGAGTTTTTACAATTTGTTTCTGTTTCTGTTTATTTTTTATTTTTTTTTCTCTTCAAAAAATAGAAATTGGTTTGGCTAAAATAAACATCAAAAAATATTTTAAAGTTTTTTTAAAATACTATTCCCAAAAAGAAAAAAAAAATTATATGAAAATAAAGATTTTTTTTTTCTTTTCTTCTTTTTTTTTTTTTGCAAACTAGTTTTTTTTTTCCTTGAAAATAAATAATAAAAAATATTGAAAGCTCAACCAAAGGTGATTATTTTTCTGGAGATTGCATTTTTTTTTTTTTCTAGTGCAAATAACAATAATAAAGAAAATGAAGAAGCAGCAAAAGCAGTGGTCCATAAACCTAACAATATAAAAGCAAAGTGGCTTGGGTGGTGCCACTTTAACCAAACAAATGGCTCTGTTTTTTTTTTTTTTTTTTTTTTATTATTTATTATTAGGGTAAATTACACTTTTAATCTTTTGTACTTTGTCATAAATTTTATTTTGCTTTTTATCTTTGTATTTTAAATAATTTGGTTTTTATATTTTCAGTCTAGTTTCACATTGGTCTTTTCATTCAAATTGAATATTAAAATTAATTATTTTTGTTACACATGTCAGTCTCTTAAAGTGTACATATAAAGAATTAAAAAAAAAAAATTTGATGGTCATTTGGTTGGAATGACCAAATTGAAACTATATTTAAAGTAGTGATCAAATTGTTTAAATTAAAATAATAGAAATCAAAGTGAAATTTAGTCAACTTATAACAGTGACATTGTGATTTATCTCTTTTTTTATAGTAAGTTTAGGTGCCTAAAAATAATTAGAAGTTTATTCAAGAAAAATAATATGTGATCCAAATTCATTTTATAAAAGTTGAATTTGAAATACATTTCTTCTTTAGCTGATTTTTCAAATTTTGTTTTCTGTTTTTTATATTTTCAAAAAATAGAAACTAATTTGGCAAAAATAAACCCAAAAATAGAAAATCATAGGAAAATGATATATGTAATTTTATTTTATTTTTCCAAATTTTGTTTTTACCAAACAAGTTTTTATGAAAACAAAAATAAAATAACATAAAATAAACAACAACAACAATGACAATAAATATTGAAAATAACAACGCTACAAACTCAGGAAAAAAAAATCTATAAATTATTAACAGCACTACATCCATCGAATTTGATCAGTCTAAATTCAACCAAATGAGACTTTTCATGGTAAGAGTTTCCTGTTTTGGAAACTCCCCGGAGACTCTTATTCAGATGAATTCGAGTTGAACAAATTCGATGGATAAATCATTAATCATAAATTATTAGAATTATCGTTGCTTTTTTTTTTTGGTAGACTTGTTTTTTTTTTGTTGTTTTTTTTCTTTTGTTGTTAGTTCGGATGACCCTTTATGCTGTGTTTGGTTGAAAAATTTGGGAGAAATTTGGAAAGAGAAAGGGAAACGGTGTGTGAAACTAGTGAAATATAAGTATATTTTATTCACATTCCACCTTACTTTTTTCTTTCTCTTTCCAAATTCCTCCTCAAATCTCTCAATCAAACACAGTGTTAGGATCTTATTTATGTACTTTTATTATTTTATTAATATATTATTTCTCATGTTCTCCAAAAAAATAAAATAAAATAAAATAAAATAAAAGAATTATTAGAATTGTACTGACGAGTCAACCAAATTTGTTTATTTTCTCGCAGCAGTATCTAGCTTATTCCTAGGTTTCAGCTAACAACAGTTAAAGTTCCCAATTAATCAGACATTATTCCAAAGAAGTTTTGAATAGTAATTGAACTCTCTTAATTGCATATCACACGCCTAACTGCTGAATTTATAACATTTGGCATTGATTTTTTAGGTGCCGTTTGCTTACGTTTTTAATTTTCAGTTTATATTTATAAAAATTTTAAAAATTTAAATAAAAATATTTTAAATATAATTATATCAAAATTATAAAATTAATTATATTTCTTTTCAATTCTCAAGGTAGTGCGTGAATTTTTAATTAACTTGTTGAATTGAAAAATATTTAAAATTAGGGTAAATTACATTTACCTCCCCTAAGGTTTCTGACAAATACAGGGACCTCCCCTGTGGTTTGAATAATTACAGTAACCTCCCCTACTTTACCTGACATTGTACAGATTCCCCCAATCCGTCAATTATACATAAACAACGTTACTTTTGTATACAAAATGACCATATTACCCTTTTATTTGAGCGAAAATACCCTTTGATTATAGTATTCAACTTTGTTTTTAATTTTAATTTTAATTTTTTTGTTCTCTCTCATCTCATCTCATCCCCCAATCCCAACTTCACTCTGGTTTCCAATTGCAACAGCAGTGTAATCTGAATTCTCTAAATCACTCCCCAGATGTCCCTCATCTTCCTCCTCTTTCTCTCTCTACAACTCCACCTCTCTCTTCTCTCCTCTTCCTCCTCCACCACTACCTCCGCCGCACCGCCACCCGCCATCCGCCACCCACCTGCCACCACCACCACCCACCACCCGCCACTCGCTACCATCCACCACCCGCCACCATCACCCACTCAACCACCACCACCACCACCCACCACCACTAGCTACCCACCACCCACCGTCACCACTTTCCACTACCGTCTTCCACCGCCACTTGCCACCACTTGCTATTTCTCACTCTTTTTTATATTTTTAAATTTTTTTAAACATTTTGTCAATTACCAAACGCGTTTGTAGTTTATGTTTTTCTAAAAATAAACAAAAACTAAACAAAAACCAATTTATAAAATTTTTGTAAATATAAACTGAAAACGTAAACGTTACCAAACACACTCTTAGTATTTTTTTTAGTATTTAAAAAAAAGATACGTTTTTAATGTTACTAAAAAATATATTTTTTGAGAAAATAATAAATAAAATTCAAAGTTGGACCCTTGTAACAATATAAAATTTGAGTTTCTATTTTATCAATTTAAATTCTAATCTTTTGTTTTGTTTTCAATTTAAACCATCTACTTATTTTCATTAAGTAAAACTGATAAAAAAATATTTTAGCCGTTAAATTTAATGTAATTATACATAAAATATTTAAAATACTAATTTTTTGTTAAGTTTAATGGCTAAAATTCCATTTTTTAGTTAGTTTTACTTAACAGAAATAGACAGAGAATTTATATTGAAAATAAATCAAAAGATTAATATTTAAATTGATAAAATTAAAAATTTATTTTATTTTATTACAATACTCAAAATGATTTGTAACCTTTTAAACTTATTAAGCCAAATAAATTGCTTATTTTTAAGAGAAAATAACAACATAGTTGGACTGTAAAAAAAATTATAAATTAGTAAAAAAAATTTATACATGTTAATAATTAAAATACTATTTTTTATGATTATATATATGTTGTCATCCCTGTGCAGTAATTTTCTCTATTTTTAACTCATCCACATCAGCCTAGGTAGGCGGCCATTGCAAAATTAGGGAGCCCATTTTATAAATTTCTCAGACTTTGGAGTTGGTACATTGTGTGTGGTATATACCAAATTCTGCAAATTCGGGGGCAGGGGTTGGGTCGGTGGGTGGTTGATCTATAACTTAGGACCACCCATGGAGTTGAAAGTGGGAAACAAATACTTCACATACTGCAAAATGAAACCCAGGTATTACAATAATGCTTCAGGCCTTGAATTTGTCTCGAATTTCAATTTATTTATTTATTTTTTTGGCAGTGTTGATTTCGCTTCTTCTTTTTTTTTCTTATTTTTAAATTTTTTTCCTCTTTTATTTTCTTTTATTTTATTTTTTTTTGCAAAAGTGGTTATGTGTAGAAGTATGCTAAAAAATTAGACATCACGTACTAACTCAACCTGTATGGTTTGATAAGGTGAGTGAACTGGGTTGAACTGGTTGGGTGTGAGTTGGGTTGAACTGGTTGGGTGATAAACCTAACTAGTTCAACCCAGCTCACTCACCTTATCAAATCACATAGGTTGAGTTGTTTTTTTTTTCTTCTATTTGTTGGGCTGTGTTGGTTTGTTCCTTTTTTTTTAATTTTATTTTATTTTATTTTATTTGTTGGGCTGTGTTGATTTGGTTTTTTTTTTAAAGGTGGTTATGTGTAGGGGTGTGCCAAAAAATTAGACATCCCGCAACAACTAATCGTACAAAATTATATGGAATTAACAAATTTTAATCAACAGCCTAATTGATCAGTCAATTAGGTTAGACTGATTGAATGATAAAATTGATTGATTAGTTAGACTGTTGGTTAAATTTTGTTAATTTTATATAATTTTGTACGATGAGTTAGTGCCAAATGTCTAATTTTTTGGCACAACACATAACCACCCTTAAAAAAAAAAAAAAGAGAGTGAATTTGAGCCAAATTCGAGGCCTCTAGCACTGCTGCGGGTATTATATGTTAATGATAGAAATTAGATACAAAATAAAGATTGTAACAGTTTTGGAAGATATTTTAGAGAAATTTGTTCGTCTTTGATTTTTGTTTTTAATGTAATTTTTTTTTACTATGATTAATAATTGATTGTCCTGATGCAAGGGATAATAACAATCTTAGATTAAACAATTCTTCTTGTAAATCAAAAATATATTGATAACTATCATTAATCTTAATACGTAATTCAGAAATCAAAAGCATACTAAACAAATATAACACTTATATTAAAACCAAAAATAAGAAGATAAGATAAAAGAAAACTTAAAAAGGGTGTAGTTGGTTTTTCGCGTTCCTCGGAGGGGTTTAGTCTCCTCGGATAAGATTGCCCTACAGTTCAAACTCTCGTGGTTCTTAATCTGGTTTCACAAGTATAATGTGAAACAAAAAAATGAATGAGAGTCCAAATTCGACAAATCTTAGAAAATCCATTAATCATCAAAGATGTCAAAAATGGACTGAATTGTCAAATTTTAGAGTCGCCGCCTAAATATTTTTAAAAAAATTAGGAAACCTGTGATTCGTGCCAAAGGCTACCTGTCCATCATAACCAA